GCAAGGTTTACCTAGATGATGCCCCCAAACGGAAATCTGGTAATACAGGAGCAAGCTGGGCTGCTCCACACCTTAAAAGTTTTTTTTTTTTTTAAAGTAGACTGCTTGAAGAGTAAATCACCTAGCATGAGAAAAGAATATGTATCAGCAGAAATTACCTAAATAGCTAACACTACATAGACTGCACCACAGGCGAAATAAAATGAAGATGCCGCTCACTACCTTTGTTAAGGTCCTTTTACAGATAGTAATTTTCCTTCACTAAGAATATTCTAATACTCTGTGTTAAAGCTCTCTGCGTTCTCTCCCTTAATGAGAGCTATGCTCTGGGCTCAATTCAGTTCAGTTCCACCAAGGGCAGATTTTTTGAGCTCAGAGTGGACAAATGACATGGAGGATTCAAGGCCAAGTAACAGCACTTGGATTCTCTCCTTCTCCTCTCTTTATTAATACTGGGTATTAATCTAACTCAGGCAAATGTGTGAGGCGATAAACTGGACCCAAGAAACAACTAAAGAAGAGAAAGGCTTCTCTCTCCAGATCTGGGTGTGGTAGGAACCACAGGTAGAGCGGCCTCTATCAAAAGGGCTAGAAAACTTGTTATGGTCTTCCCTGGTAGCTCAGTGGTCAAGAATCCGCATACCAGTGCAGACGACAAGGGTTTGATCCCTGGTCCAGGAAGATCCCAAACAAAACGGAGCAACTAAGTCCATGTGCCACAACTACTGAGCCCAAGCTCTAGAGCCTGGGAGCCACAACTGCTGAGTCTCATTCTCACGGCAGGAAATTAAAGCAAAACAGAAGCATGAAAAATAAAACGCTGAAAATCCCCCTTTGCCCATTCCTCATCTGAGTTCTTTCCCCATAGGTATTTTAAATATTATCAATTTAAGTTCTGTAACATATATATTCACATATTTGTATGTATATAGCTGCTTAATTTTTACTTTTAAAACATAAACGGAAATTACAAAAACCTCTTTTTTTTTTCTGGTTAACAAAATAATCTGGAGATATTTCCATAATAGCATATTTTTAAAGGCATCAGTCTTTTTTGATCACACATGTCTATTTACTCAAAAGTAGGATTATAACACAGTATTTTGTAGTCTAGTTATTACACTAAACATTATGTTAATAGTTGCTTATAACTTCACTGAATTCTTTTCTGTGATTCATTTTAACTAGCTCCCTATTGATGGTCATTTGCATTTTTAAATTTTTTTTCTGCATTTAAACAATGTTGCTGTAAAGACTCTATACAAAAATATTTGCCAACTTGCTATTTTCTTAGGTTAATTGCTAGAAGTTGATTTTTCTGGGTCAACAGATATATTTACATTTAAAATTTTTTTAAGTGTTGCCAAATACCCCTCCAGAGTGATTTTGCCAATCATACTTAACAACAGTATATCAAAGTGTCTGCTTCCACCATCAACATGAGGAATTATCAATCTTCTAATGCTTTCCAATTTAATAAGAAAAAATGAAATGTCATTATTTTAATTTGCATTTCTTTGATTAATAAGATCGACAATCTTTTTTTTGGCCATTTGCAATTTTTCTTTTACAATTTCTACGTTTGAGTGTTGACATGCTTCACCCACTATTTTTACTGGGATATTCTTAAGAGATCTGTAAAAACTCTTTACACAGCATTATTACATGGTTAAATCACGTTACACTGAACTTTTTCTTTATAACTTTTCATATACTTATAGCTTTGTTTTTGATATCTTTTTTAATTGATTCATGTAGTCAGATCTACCAATACCTTTCTCTGTGGCTTCTGGCCTTGGTGTCGTGCTTACAAAGCCTTTCTCTACCTCAAAATCATTAAATATTCTCTATTCATACATGTGCACCAAGAATGATATATCTGTAACTCTGTTGTACTCTACCCTAGATACAACTGTAAAAATGGGTTGGATTTTCCCAGAGGCTTACCTTCAACAAATCTAGATACTATTAAAAAAAAAAAAGGCATATCTATAATTTAGCAAAACCAAAATTATTCACCTAGGGAAAAGTAGTATGCACTGATACTGAAAAGAAAGTTTTCCATTTCTCAACACTTTGTGTTATATACAAAGTGGGAAACCAAATAGTACATACTAGATTATTTCCATTTATGGAATTACCTAAACAAAGACAAAATAGGCCTTCCTCCTAAGATAAAGTAACACTACTGGCTAGCTCTGGAAGATTTGATATTAGAAGCAGAAAGAGCTAATGCCAACTTATTTGGCCTGCAGTTAGCCTGGCCTATTCAGACTACGGAGCATGAGCATCAGCCTCTATGTCAGCCTTAGTGTCCTCAGGAAACTGTGCAGAGGGAGTGTACTAGGTCTTCCAGCTCTAAGACCTCTATTTAACTTCTTGTTATACAGTGGTTAAACCAGCTGAGACCAATGCTGATAATTATCAACCTCCACAAGGGGCAGCTTCTTTTTCCTAAAAGCTCCAAATGCCACATGACTGTTGCCCAGCAAATACATTCCTGTCCCCTCCTCTCTCACCTGCTCTACTGAAGTGGCAGGTGTTCCGGCCAACACCTGTGTTCCATAACAGAGTTCCGGCCAACGAGATGTGAGAAGTCTTTAGAGGTCTTTCTGAGAAGCTTTTACTCTTCTGATAAAAGAAGATCAATGTGGCTGACACCACTCCTCTCCTCTTCTTCCTACCCGAAATGCATGCTTGATGGCTAAAGCTGCAGCAGCCACTTTGGGACCACAGGGGAAAAATCAAGAGATGCTGAGAAGGGAAAAACACTGCCAGTAATTACCTGCCTCCTCCAGAATTATTCTGTCAGAAAAATAAACTCCTGTTTGCTTATGCCTCTGCGGTCAGGTTCTGTTTCTTACATATCAAGCCCAACACAACCCTTAATAATAAAGTCACCTTCAAGTTATCTTTACATCTAGAATATAGTAGGCCCTCAAAAATTATGAGTAAATAAATTAGATTCTGGAAAACAAAGTATCCTGGAGTATCAGATGACTCAAGAAAAATCCCAACTAGGAATGACAATTCATTTCTAAATGATGTAGTTGTACTGTATTCAAAAGATGCCACTAATATTTAAAATAGCTTTCACTTTATGTTTGGAATAATAGTGTTAACTGAATGGGTTTGTTTTCCTTCATAAGAACCTGATTTTCCTTTCCTGTTGAAGTAATTTTTTCATGTCATCCTGACAGAGACTCTCAGAAGCATGCATTTAACTCTATTATTTTTAAAAACAGACTAGATCAAGAAATAAATGAAAAAAAACAACAACCCTAAAACAAAACAAGCAAAACCAGCTAGATACAAGCATTGACAGGCAAGCACAGGAAGTCACAAAGATGTGGGTATAAATGCACTCGGAATCATCCATAAGCTGTTTTGTAATCAGAACAAAAGCAAACAAAAAAATTAATCATCATTGTGTTCAACTAAACCTGCATATCTACTACTTTTCAAGGGGAGGAAAGCTGATGGAGTTTAGTAGTAAACTAAATACTCTCAAATAAAAAGGCTAAGTATAGCTTGAGGGATAAAGCTGGCAAAATCCACATGTGCCTACATTATGACCAATAATATCACTTGGTAAAGATTTATGTTTTAAAATGTCTATCACAGCATTACAACAATGATAATTTAAAACAATTTAAATTTCCAAAAATTAGTAAATGGCTAAAATAGATATTACATAGTCACTTAAATTTTTGAATGATTCCCTGGCGTGCTGTGGTTCATGGGGTTGCAAAGAGTCGGATACGACTGAGTGACTAAACTGAACTGAACTAAACGGTCAGAGTATGCAAAATATTTAAACAAAAAGATCACAAGAGTAGAATATAATTTCAATTACATAAAAAGAAAAATAAGAATATACTAAAAGGGAACCCATAAAGACTGAAAGGAAATATCCTCAGATGTTAAAAGTGATAATATCCTGTGCGTATGTATGTGTATGTGTGTATACACACATGTCCTATCTCCACACACTGAGAGAACCTAGAAACAATGATGCCTAGAACAATGAGCATCTCAGCACCCAGAACTTGGTTTCTAAAAATCACACTCAAAAAAAAAAAAAAATCACACTCCATTAAAAACAGCCGGCATTCCTTGGAGAAAGACTGATTCCAGGATTGGAAAAGGGAAAATGTGAGATGAGCCTAGAATACCTTGTTGTGGTGGAAAGTAAGAAGTACTCAATGAATAAGTGGGGATATCTCAAAAGGATGAAACCAGTTTGAAGGGACTTCCATTAATCTGAGACAATTTTAAACCAAAATAAATAATGACAGCAACGGATTCTAACTGAATAAAATAGGAAAGCATGAGTCCATATTGATATAAATGAATGTAAATAATAGGAGACATGGCTAGATAAGTAATATTATAAAAATATTATGTTGTAGAATGCCAATAAATATAGAAGGAATGATTCTTTAAAAAATGGATAATTCTTTAATTATCTCTGAACTATATAAGTATACATTTTTTGTGTACACATTTCCATTTTGCAAAGTGAGCGTGTACTTCTTTTGTAAAAAATACTCAAAAAAACCCCCAAATCCTCAACAGTACCCTGAACAAACACAACATAATGCACATCCCCAGAGCAATCTCTACACCCATTTTTTTTTCCTCCACCCATTTTAAAAAGGAGAACATATACATAAAACCCCAAACACATGAAGCAAGTGTGTGTGCACCGTCTTAACCCATCTATCTAGAGAAGAGCTCAGATGTCCAAAGCAGGTGGCTAATGTTAAAAACAAAACAGCATAAACAAAAAACCACACAGAGGCAGCACTGAGATTTACAAAGATTTTGTTTTGGTTTTACAGTATGGGAGTGAAGAGATGCGACAAGGACCCTTACAATGATGCTGCTGACAAATGGTTAACTGATAAGGAGAAACGGAGAGGGCCACAGGCTTTAGAACAGGTCAATACTGGGCTGTCATGAAGCCATTTGAGACAGATAATTAATCTATTACTCACCTGGCGTCATCATTCATTGTGGTATGGTCAATAGGTGCCATGAAGCTCAGCAGCTTGCTAAGCACATGAAACCTAAATAAAGTAGGAAAGAAACAGGCAGCAGCATTAGTGACTATTAACCTAGAAAAGGAAACACATGCTATGAGGTAACAAACTCCAGATGATCACAAGAACATCTGGCTCCAGAGTGGAACAGGGAACAATTTCTAGGCATGTGCCACACATAACCATAAAAACCCTTTTTCCTCAATGCTATAGGAGAAAAGTCTGATAAAAGCACATTGTAAATGACAGTAGTTCTACACAACTCCATTATATAATGGCCAAAAAAAGGGGCACACATCTGTGCCCTGAAGCAATACACTAAGCCTTAAACATCACTCCAGACAAGAGATGGTGAGGACCGGATTACCCCACTGTCCCCTTCTCTGCATGTATCCTAATCATTTTTCAGTCAGGAGCAGAGGCAGTGGCATACCATCCAAATGGAACACCTCATCACTCACTAGCACGGTTCCCTGGGTCAGAAAAGGCTTCCAGAATCACCTTCATTCACCAGTTTCACCAGATCTTTCATTTCGCCCTTCTTAAACTAAGGCATACAACTGAGCACATACGGAGTCCACTCCCTACATCTTCAGTCAAGGTGTTATAAAAACTGAAGTTATGTCAATTCCATCTCCCACCAGTAGAAAAAAAGAGGTAGTTTTATATGAAGTGCTTTGAGATCCTCTGGTGAAGAAGGCTGAATAAATATTTGACCTTACACAGACCAAATTATTATAGCTAAGAGAATTCAAAGAAGATATCCCTTTCTATTCATAAAAGAAGAGGCTGCAGGACATGTCATATTATAAAATTCTAACAAAAAAACCCCTCTCTGGTGCAAAACACTATCCACACAAAAATGATATAACATACATGTAATGTTTTACCATTTAAAAAGCATTTTTACACACATCAAATAGTTTGATTCTCTACCAGCAAATAGCCAAGCCTCCCGAATTTCAATCTTTTAACAAATGAATTTTAAAGATTAATAGTGATGAGCTTTTTCCCATTACAGGAGTAATAGAAAAAAGCATAAATCTATTACAGAAAATTTGGAAGACAAACCAACTAAGCACACAAAAAATGCGTACATATTCTTTTATCTGCAGAAGGGCTGTTATTAATATTTATTAATATTATTAGCATTTGGGTTAATTATGTTCATTTTACATAGTAATCCACACAACATAATTTCATATCCTTTTCTTTCACTTAGCAGTGTATCTCCACAGCTGTATACAAAACTCCAAGAAGTACTATAAATGCATTTTCATATTTCTGAACAGTCATATTGTTTCTAATTCTTCACTTCTTATAAGATGCAAAAACAAAATCTCTGTTCATCATACTTTCTTTATGCCCAGTATCTCCTAATTATAAAAAGTAATATATAATTACAAATTCAGAAATACAGAAAGAACTGACAAGTCCCCTGTAATCTCTGGAAATAATCATTGTTAATTAAAATTAAGTTTGCCTATAGCATTCTCCATATATAAGACAAATATAAACTTAATATATTTTTCACATGCTCATGCATTATGCTTTTTTCCACTATGTCATATTGTATTCTTTTTCATAGTTCCAGAATATTCTGTTGCAATAAATATATTGTAATTTACTAAATCTCCTACTGATAAGCATTTATACAGTCTTCCCTCTTAAAAAAGCATTATAAACAGTGCTAAAGTGAAGATACTTTATTTTATTGAAGCATAATTGATTTACAAAGTTTTGCTAATTTCTGCTGTATAGCAAAGTAATTAAGTGTATATATACACATATGTGTGTATTTAACTTATATGCAGAGTACATCATGCGAAATGCTGGGCTGGATGAAGCACAAGATAGAATCAAGATTGCTGAGAGAAATATCAGTAACTTCAGATATGCAGATGACACCACCCGTATGGCAGAAAGGGAAGAGTAACTGAAGAGTCTCTTGATGAAGGTGAAAGAGGAGTGTGAAAAAGCTGGCTTAAAACTCCACATTCAAAAAATGAAGATCATGGCATCCTGACCCGTTACTTCATGGCAAATAGATGGGGAAACAATGGAAACAGTGACAGACTATTTTCTTGGGCTCCATAATCACTGCTGATGGTGACTGCAGCCATGAAATTAAAAGACGCTTGCTTCTTGAAAGCAAAGCTACTACCAACCTAGTCAGCATATTAAAATGCAGAGACATTATTTTGCCAACAAAGGTCCGTCTAGTCAAAGCTATAGTTTCTGCAGTAGTCATGTATGGACATGAGAGTTGGACCATAAAGTTGAGCATCAAAGAATTGATGCTTTTGAACTGTGGTGTTGGAAAAGACTCTTGAGAGTCCCTTGGACTGCAAGGAGATCAGATCAAACCAAAGGAAACCAGTCCTGAATATTCATTGGAAGGACTGATGCTGAGGCTGGGGCTCCAATTCTTTGGCCACCTGAGGCGAAGAACTGACTCACTGGAAAAGACCTGATGCTGGGAAAAATTGAAAGCAGGAGGAGAAGGGGATGACAGAGGATGAGATGGTTGGATGGCATCACCGACTTGATGGACATGAGTCTAAGCAAACTCCTGGAGCTGGTAATGGGTAGGGAAGCCTGGCATGCTACAGTCCAAGGGGTCACAAAGAGCTGGACAAGACTGAGTGACTGAACTGAACTGATATATATATATATATATACACACACACACACATTTTTTTTTCATATACTTTTCCATAACGGTTTATCACAGGGTACTGAATACAGTTCCCTGTGCTATACAGTAGGACCTTGTTGCTTATCCATTCTAGGCTGCCATGCTCTCCTCCAGGGGATCTTCCCAACCTAGGGATCGAACCCATGTCTCCCACATTGTAGGCAGATTCTTTTAATGTCTTTTAGGCTTCACCAAACTTCATTTTTCACCTGAAAAAAATGAAAACTATTCTTGGCTATGTCCAAAGACAGGTTTAATTCACTGTCTAGACAAAGGCTATGAACTATACCTAATAGTTGCGTTGTCTGGTCCAAGAGTCACTGGTCACATGTGAGTTACTGAACACTGGAAATGTGCACCAGACTTTGAAAACATCAGAGGAAAAAATGTAAAATATATCACTAATAATTTTAAAACAATAAATTGTTAAAATAATATTAGCTATATATTGGGCTAAATGAAATGTATTATTACTTAAATATACTTCTTTCCTTTTTTCCCCCCTTTTTAATTGCGGCTACTAGAACATTTAAAATTACACATGTAACTGATGAACCTATCTGCAGGGTGCTGGAATAAGAGTCACAGCCTTAAGAGAATGGACTGTGGACACAGCTGGGGAAGGAGAGGGTGGACAAGTTGAGAGAGCAGCACTGAAACATATACACCACAATGTGTGAAACAGAGAGCCAGAGGAAAGTCACTGCATCACAGAGGAGCTCAGCCTGGTGCTCTGTGATGACCTGGAGGGATGGGATGGGAGGAGTATAACTATGTGTATGCTGATAGCTGACTCATCCTGTTACACGGAAGAAACCAACACAACACTGCAAAGCAATTATCTTCCAATTAAAAATAAAAATTTTTTAAATTATACATGTAAAGATACTTTTTACTGGATGGCACTGCTCTGTGGAATACCTTTACACTTAAATACAATATATTCAATAACTATTAACTGCATGATGAAGGACAGGCTTTTAAGTAGTAATCAGATTAAAGATGATTTAATACAATGCATTTTTACCTCATCTCAGTGCTACTGAGGATGGATGCATGTTTTAGTGTTAAAATTACCAACCATACTATGAAGAGATAAATACAATTTTGTTGCAGAAGAACAGACAAACACAAAACACAGTATGACATTTCATTATTAAAGGCCTGAGTTTAATTCATTTACATTAAGATTCTGCTTAAATCAGGATCAAATCCACTTATAGATAATGCTGAGTAAAATACTGGTAATTAATAATTATAATTATTTCCCCAAACCAGCATATTTCTTTTTTTTTTTTTAAGTTATTTTCTAGCATCCAACCAGCAAACTGTTAACACCCAATCTTACCAGGCTGATGCCACTGACCTGTTATCACTGAAATTAATGTTTCCACAAGGCAGTGTTCATCTTTGCAGTGATATTTCTTTTTTCTCCAATCCTACCACAAACAAAGAGGAAAGCCTGCCCACTGGTGGAACCTAGTACCAGTGATGACATCTGGCACACCACCAGCTCTTCTGGGGGTCTAATTTAAGGAAGTTATTTACGACATGTATTCTCATCTATCCTGGAGAAGAAAATGGCAACCCACTCCAGTAGTCTTGCCTGGAGAATCCCATGGACAGAGGAGCCTCGTGGGCTACAGTCCATGGGGTCACAAGAGTCGGACACGATTGAGCAACTAAACCCATTCTCATCTAGCCTAGGCCCTTTGCTAAATCCTTCACGGCAGAGTTCTAATGTAGCCTAGATATAATTTCGGTGCCTGATAAGTCCTGGCCAGAGAAACAACTCAAGAGCCACAGGTCAGAAGTATGGACTCTGGAATCAGACCAGTTAGCTTAAATCTATGTTCATGATTACTAGCTCTGTAACAGTGGGTGAGTCATTTATCTTCTTAAATACTTTACATGAGTTAGCTAATTTCAATCTGCATGACAGTCCTATGGGAAGTGCCTTCTATTATCATACTGGCTTGACAGATGAGGAAACTGAAGCAGAGAGAGATGTTAAGTGACTTGCCCAAGGGGTCTCAAGGCCAGTAAGTGCAAGAGCCAGATTTCAAACCTGAACATTTTAGCATTGGAGGTTGTGTCTTTTCCACTTCTGCATGTAAACTGCTCTGTAGTGCCCGACAGAGAGTTTTATAAATGTTAGTTGTTGTTATTGCTATATATCAACATCACTGATTCTGACCACATCCCACACATTCATGGTCACAAAGAGGGCCTCCATGAACACGGGTGATGAAACGGCAACACGATTCAAAGCATGTGACCTTATTTAGTACTTTTCTGTTTGCTTCTTGTGCTGTGCTATAACTGTAGACTTGTGTGAAAGCTACAAAAATAGTGCAGAGTTCATGTACGCCTTTCACCTAGCTTCCTCGAATGGTAACAACTTATACAAATGTAATTATCAAAATTAGGAAATTAACATCTGTATAATACAATTAACTAAACCATAGACCTTATTCAAATGTCCCCCATTTTTTGTCCTACTGTCCTTTGTCTTTTCCAGGATCCAATCTAGGACCCCATAGTGCAGCTAGTTGTGATGCACTCCCATCTCTGACAGGTGCTCAGGCTTCCTTGTTTTTCAATGACTTGCTACAGTCAACAGAATAAAGTCCAAGTTTTGAGCATGACAACGATTTAGCACCCGCTTATTCACACAGTCTCATCTCCTGTTATTCCCCCATATTTACTTCAAGGCTCTGCCAAAACAAATGAACTTTGGTTTCCAAAACAGACAGGGATATTTGCAAGCCTGTGTTTTGAAAAACATTATTCTTTTTGGCCTTTCCATAGGCTAACTCTTCCTAGTCTGGTCAGTGTGAAGTATCAATGCTGTATCTCACAGAAAGTCTTACTTGATAAGCGGGTTAATTTTACTGTCACAATCATTCAAAAACATGTCTGTGAGGCACTACAATAGGCAATAAGGTCGGAACTAACTTGAAAAAATCAGCACAATTCTTGCCCTCAAGGGACACACGATTATAGATATTTGCCCTAGCAGCTTTAAAACTCACAAAAATACAATAATGTAGAAAAGACATCTTTTGCTCTTTTCAATTCTTTTGAAGAGCATATATTTGCAACAGCAATGCCAACAGGTAAACACATGAGAAATCAAAGAATCTAACACTTTCAAATGTTTATTATGTGCCAGACATATACACATTATTTGAATCCTCAAATCAAATCCATCCCTCAAACCAAATCAGGCTTCCTTGGTGGCTCAGACAGTAAGTAAAGAATCTGCCTGCAATGCGGGAGACCCAGGTTTGATCCCTGGATCAGGAAGATCCCCTGGAGAAGGGCATGACGACCCACTTCAGTATTCTTGCCTGGAGAATTCCATGGACAGAGGAGCCTGGAGAGCTACAGTCCACGGGATCACAGAGAGTTGGACACAACTGACTGACTCTCTCTCTCTCTCTCTCTCACACACACACACGGATTAGTATCTCCACTTATTAAATGAGTAAAGTGAGGCTCAGAGAATAAAGAGCAACCAACATCATACAGCCAGTCAGAGCCAGTCTCCTGACTGAAATCCTGGGCTCCTCCCTCGAGAGAACATTTAAAGCCTCACAGAGCTATTAATTAATTAACCAGAAGTATAGTTGATCTACAATACTGTATTAGTTTCAGATACACAACACAGTGATTCAATATTTTATAGATTATATTCCATTTAGAGTAATCACAATAAAATGATGGCTATATTTCCCTGTGCTGTTAAATTTATCCTTGCTGCCATTTTACTTTGTACACAGTAGTTTGTCTTTTAATCCCCATCTCACCCCTCCTTCTCCCCACTGGTAGCCACTAATTTGTTCTCTCTGTGAGCCTGTTTCTGTTTTGTCATGTACATTCATTTGTTTTATTTCTTAGATTCCACATGAAAGTGATAACATAGAGTATATGTCTTTTTCAAAGTTACAATTTAAAAAATGCAGTATTGGAGAAAAGTCTAATCTCAGAATTAAAGAACAGGTACTTATTCAGCCTGATCAATTATAAAGTACTAGTAGTAACATTCTTCTTTAAATCCTACCAGGGATGGGGGTACAGAAGAGACAGGTACCAATGAGGCATGTAAGTGAGTAAGCAAGTAAACGAACATTCCAGTAGGAAACTGATCCAGTCTTGGGATAACAACAGCAGTAACAATGATAGGAATAATGGCAAAAACACTTACATAGTGCTTGCTATGCCCTCATTGTTGTACTGTGTTAGTCACTCAAGTCGTGTCCAACTCTTTGTGACCCCATGGACTGCAGCCTGCCAGGCTCCACTGTCCATGGAATTCTCCAGACAAGAATACTGGAGTGGGTTGCCATTCCCTTCTCCATGCTATGTTCCTGGTGCTAGTCTAAAAGCTGTACATACATGTACTCATTTAATCCCCATAGCAACCCTACAAGTCTGGTACTATTATCAACCCCTTTCTTACAAATAAAGAAACTAGAACAGAGGGTTTAAGGGTCTTGCTCAGGGTAACTACTAACTGGTGTCAAAGGTGGGATTCAGACTTAGGGAGTCTGGCGCTTGAGTCCATGCTCTCAACCAGCACATTGAAAACAAAGGTGGGGGAAGCAGAAAGGTTTGGAAACTTCAGCACATGAAAAAAAGTTAAACAAATTATAACAATTTAACATGAGATTTGAGAAAAGTGACTTTCAGTCAAAAGACAATGAAAAGCTACTATGCACTTCTGCAAACTTAAAGGAAAATAAACATTTCCTTAAAGGAGATCAGTCCTGGGTGTTCACTGGAAGGAATGATGTTGAAGCTGAAACTCCAATACTTTGGCCACCACGTGCGAAGAGTTGACTCATTGGAAAAGACTCTGATTCTGGGAGGGGTTGGGGGCAGGAGGAGAAGGGGACATCAGAGGATGAGATGACTGGATGGCATCACTGACTCATGGACATGGGTTTGAGTAAACTCTGGGAGTTGGTGATGGACAGGGAAGCCTGGAGTGCTGCGATTCATGGGGTCGCAGAGAATCGGACACGACTGAGTGAATGAACTGAACTGAACTGATGAGTTCTGTTAAATACTAAAACAGGTTAATTAAAGTAGTGGAACCTGCTTCTTTGAAGGTACTTAAAAATGAGATAGATCCACATTTGTCCAGAAATAATTTTAATGACAGGTAGGCTCTAACAAAAATGTGGGATTAGCTATCTGCCTAAAACTGGCCTAACACAATGAGTTTAAGATGTTTTTTCCCAATGTGCACTTGAATTACCAGTAGTTTCTTCGACACTGAGGCCTTGTGTGAGTGATACTATATAATATATAAAAATAGTCACAAGGAATCTCAGTCTGAAAGCACAGCAATGTCACTTCTACTCTGGTTCCTTCTTTGTTTCCATTCTTTTTAAGACTTTCCAGGGCTCACAAATTTGAGAACTCCTACACTCACATAGGTTTCTGTATTCTCATAAAAGTTACACTCCTCATCTCATTTAAGCACAGTGTTAACAATCTCTGGAAGCCTTCACTTTTTATCTTTTTAGCATACTAGGTACATGTATGGCATCATGAAAATGGACCAACATAATTCTGCTTAAATAAGACTCCAAGGTACAATTTTTACATTGTAATAAGGAAATCATTTTTCAAAACTAAGGCAATTTCAACTCTCTTGTCTTCCTTTTTAATTATGTCTCTTTCAGGGAAATACAAATATTATTCAACCTATTCATTCACAGCAGTAGAACAGAAAGTAACTGACACTATCTTTCCATTTCAGAGTAAGAAAAACTGAATCTCAAAAAAGTCTCAAATATTGCTCTAGTGATTCTTCTGTTCCTTAAAAACAGAATCATTAGAAGAAATAGAAAAAATGTCATAGCCAACATGGAAAAGAAGTAATAACACACAATGTTAACATTTATTCTAAAAAGTAACTCACCGAAGTTTCCTTCCTTTGCTGGCTTTTCTATCTACTTTCTTGTGGATTTTGCTTCTTAGCTTCTGGATTGCAAGCCACTGCCTGGAAAATTCACAAGTGACGTTATGCATCATCAACAGAAATAGTTACACGTGTTGACAAATCGGAATTTTTCTCACTAACAACACTGCATAAAGAAATCATTCAACCTACACCAAGCTCCTCAAGACAGACTGGGGCCAAAGCGACTAATCGATTGAAGAGGATCTGTGCAATGGTGAAAAAACAAATGGCAGCTGGGAAATTCTCCAGCAGATTTGGTGAACAATGCTCCTTAGTATGTGGAGTTACTGTGACAAGCACTAAATCTACCAGTCTGCAGGGAAACTCGTCAAACTGAGTGTAACTCCTTGGATTTGCTGTTGATGTTTAGTTGCACAGCCTATCCTATGACTAATAATGCACCTGCTGTTTGGTTTGAACATGTGAATTCTTTAAATCTAATTTTCCCATTGTTAATACCCAGGTGCTTTTCCTTGTGCTTTCCATTTTTTCTAAGTGTTAAGAATTATCTGCTATTGATACTAGCTTTATAGTCATTTTATTTAATTTTCATTTCGGCTACATTATTTCAGAATCTGTTGCTAAAAGGGAAAGGGCTTCCCTCCTCCCCCCCCCAAATAATCTCAATACCAAGAGCCCCCAAATAATCTCAATACCACTGTCACACCTAAAAAAATTTAACTATCAAATATTCAGTCTTTGAATTTTCCAGATTATCTCAATTTTACAGTTGGTTTGTTTGAATCAGGATCCAAACAAGATTCATATATTCGGCAAGTCATTTTAAATTAAAAGAAATTCGTTTTTCAAATAAAGGATACTGGGCTAAGAAAATCTTCATAAATTGCTTATATGAACAAATGTGGGGGGAAAACGGAGAAACGGCAGCAGCTAGCCATCTTACCTGACTCATATAATGAAAGTTCAACATCAAAAAAAAAAAAAAAAAAAATCTAGGGAAATCCAATTACTGTAATCTTAATATAATCTTAATTACCATAATCTATTTTATTGTAAAGTCAGATAGATGTACAATATAATCACCACTTAAATGCAATTTGCTCAATCACATTAAATTTATAGTGAACAGTTCTCTATAGCATTCCAGTGATATACAAAATATTAACATCCTATCCTAAAATTCAAAGGTTTTACTCACATAAAATTATTTCATCAGCACAAATTTTTCCTTGTGATCTCTCAGAATGCTGCTCTTCCCCAGAACTCCATTCTGACACCTGCAGCTTTGGTGTCCATTTATGCTCTTGCAAGTTACGGCTCATGGCTATTTAAATGTACACTATTCATTAGGTGGCACTTTAAATGTCCTTTTTGTTTTCTAACCACAGGACAAAGCGTACGCACAAGGGTCTTCCTTCACTGTTTTCCATCCTACCCTGACATCTGGGCAGTGCTGCGTCTAACTGTGAGTTCCACGTCTAACTGTGCGGCAGCTTTCACTGAAGGGGCAGAGGTCTCGATGAGAGCAGACTTACAGAGAGGAACCGGCTGTGCCCAGAGCCAGGTCCCGACAGCTGACAGCACATGTTTTTATCCACTGATCAGAGACTGATACAGATCTAATTGCAATGCAAAGAGCTTAAAATGGACTTTATGAAACACCCTAAAATAAACACTTACAGGTAGGTATTGGTAATCTCTTATTCAAATGGCAGTTATGGCAATGCAGAAGAAACAATTTCCATCACTTTGTCTGTCTAGCTCTCGTTAGCATGCTTAACTTTTTTTTGCTGGCCACGTCACACAGCTCACAGGATCTCAGTCCCCCAATAAGAAATTGAGCCCTTGCCAAGGCAGAGAAAGCCTGGAATCCTAACCACTAGGCCACCGAGGAACTCCCAGCTTTCATAATTATAGAACGAGTTGTTGCCTTGGAAGCAGAATTAAGGGGACTCAGATGGAGAAACTATTACACGGGCTGCCTGTATGAACAGAAAGCCATATCCAAGTTACCTTCCCATGGCCACCTGATCATTGGGGTCCAAGGAGCTGGTCTTCCGTTCTATGAGTTCTCGGAGGAGCTACAGGAGAAAGGAAAGCAAGTGACTTATCTATCATCTGACTGTCAAAGGGCACAGGAGGAACTCTGAACGGCACAGTGACAGCTCTGAAACTACGATCAATAAGGGACAGCCCAGTGGCAAGAGCATGACCGAATTCCCAGTAACCCTTTCATATTTATATATCTTTAAAAAGGCGGCTATCACAATAACTGGGGGCAGAAGTCCATTTGGAAGACTTATTGTCCTGCAGTTCATCCCAAACGGATCAATGAGTGTGCAACATCCCCTTCATTGTTTTTATGATGATTTTTGTCCTCCTCATTGATATCAATGGAGAATCTTTAAAAGGTCAGGTGGGAAGGGCTGGGTGGCGAAAAGGAAAATGCATTGGCTTCTCATCCACAGGATAATGGTACGTGTTTAACTTCTGACCTATAACCCCAGCAGTCAGGACGGTCTTCTTAGGCAAAAAGCTTTTGCTGGATGTAATTAGAACTGTGGCCTTTCTGCTCTTGCCTTCCATACCTGATACTCTACCATGCTTACGAATAAATATCTTAACCATGCCGTCTGCGATGCAGTGCTCAGTTGCTAAGCCAGATCTGACTCTTGCGACCCCACAGACTGTAGCCCATCAGGCTCTTCTGTCCATTGGATTTTCCAGGTAAGAATACTGGATCTTCTGAATACTCGAGGGGATCTTCCCGACCCAGGATCAAACCTGCATTTCCGGCATTGCAGGCAGATTCTGTACCACTGAGCCTCCTGGGAAGCCCAACCATATATGACACCAACACATTTACACATTAATTTTAAGAGGGAACCTAAAGAAAGTTTTTCTCTGAACACAACCCAGACAGCCAGTCTCTCATCGCACACAACTAACTCCATGGGAACTAAACCACTCTCCAACTCCCCTCTTAATCCTGGTTAGTCCCCCGAGTGTAAGCTACATCTACTTCTCTAGCTCTCACACAACACTAAAGAATTTGCATTGGATCTTAAAAACTCTTGGCCAGGAGAAGCAATAGATTTAAAAGTTAGACATTAAAGGAGGAGAATTTTAACTTATAATAATAAAACTAGATTATCATCTCTCCTACACAAGTGCTATGCACAGGGAAACAGCAACAGAGATTAAAATTCCAAAAATCTTCTGAAAGAAATCCTGAAAATAAACCCCTTCCAGCTTGTCACCAGTCAAGAATATAGGTTTGACTTTAAAACTCGTTTCTTCACAAACATAAGTAATTATTTTGTAGGTAAGGCACAGAAGCAACATATATATAGTTCACCAAGTTAAATAGTCGAAGTCTGAGGGGAATAAAGAAGGGATACATTCCTACAGAAAGCAGTTCACTAATTGTCATTTGCTTATGTAAGTGGGCACTGGGAGAAGGAAAACAAATTTGTAAAAATATTCATTTCCATATAGGATGAATCTTTATTGCAAAAGGGAAAAGGCAATCTCAATCGCAAATAAAAAAACCCCCTGTGCTGTTTTTTCATTTGCTTATTTTAGACATTATTACCGTGGCAATTATGTTTAAAAATGTGGGGACCGGAGCCTCTGTTTTATTATCACTGGAAAACAGCAAGCTATTTCTCTGCCCTGTTTATCTGATTGACTCCCAACATCTTTCTGGCAGCCAATCTATCAGTTTATCTCCCCTACTTCATCACAGTCACTTCTGGCAGCTGAATACAAGATCCAAACCCAGTGTTACACGGATGTGCGACACAGACCCGTGTACCACTGCCACTCTGTGAGCAGCCGCCCTTCAGGCTAAGCCGAAATGGGCTCCGGTTCCTGGTCCACAGCCTGTCAACAGCAAGGCTGTGCAGGCAGAGGGGAGACAGGTCAACAAAAAGAATTTGTTTTAAACAAAGAAGAAGAATAAAAAGGAAGGAAAACATACTGACGAACCTGCTTGCAGAACAGCAATGGAGATGCAGACAGAGAACTGAGTATTGGACAGGGTGAGGAGAAGAGGGAGAGGGTGAGATAAACGGAGAGAGTAGTGTGAATCAATGTACATATGTAAACAGATAGCCAATGGGGATTTGCTCTATGACTCAGGGAACTCACACTGTGCTTAGATGCTCAGTCCTGTCCAACTATTTGTGACCCCATGGACTGTAGCCCACCAGCCTCCTCTGTCCATGGGATTCTCCAGGCAAGAACACTGGAGTGGGTTGCCATTCCCTTCTCCAGGGGATCTTCCCAACCCAGGGACTGAATGCAGGTCTCCTGCATTGCAGGCAGATTCTTCACCATCTGAGCCACAAGGGAAGCCCCAGTGGGGCTTATTCTGTAATAATCTAGAGGGGTGGGAATGGGCGGGAGCTGAGAGAGAGATTCAAGAGGGAGGGGACATATGTACACCTATGGTTAATTCATGCTGATGTATGACAGATATCAAACCAATATTGTAAAGCGATCATCAATCTATTAAAAATAATATTTTTTTAAAAAGGAAGGAAAATAAATAATGAAATGGCTACATCTCGTTGCCCTTACCTTGTTCCAGCCACGTAAGAGAGAACAGTCACCATTCCTGGCTTTCCTGGGGCTGTGACAGCCACTGGAAGCTCGGGGAAAACTGCCCCAGCACAATAGGGAAGGCTGGAACGGGACCCCCAGAACCTCAGCGGGTGCGCGACACACACAGCGGTCCCTGCGATTCCAACACCAAGCTGGTGCAGCATTTACGCTCAAGCACCCTGTCTACTTTACACATTCTGGGTTGCATCTTCATTACCTTGGTGCTTTACACAGTTATTCTTAGTCATTTGTAGTTAGGAAGAGAGTTTTATTGGTCTATCTGGCTGAGTCTAGGTTATTCATTCAATCTGATGTACTCATTCAGTGTGAAAAGATCCTGTTGTGTGCAAGGCAGGAATAAGAAAGCAGCAAGAAAATACAGGTAAATAAACTCTTCTCCTGGCTATTGCCGTTTCCCACAATTTCCCACAGCTCTCACTATCACTAGGCTTAAATTTAATTAGGAATACTGCTTTCCAAAAAGTTGCAGAAAAATGAAGTTTTAGGGATACTGATGGAAGAATTTAGCTTTGCTTCTTTGTTCAATTTTTATGGCTTTACTTACGAACAAATTTTTTCAATAAAATTCAGGTTTCTGTTAGTTACCAGAGGTTTTTTATTTCAACAATGATACAGTATCTGTAATTTTCTATGTGATCCGGAAAATGGAGAGGTATGTGAAATATTTTTGTTCTAGTCTGTTATAATTCCTCCAGAGAGTCAATTCAGAAACAATTCTCTAGTTCTAGGGGAAAATCTCACATGTGGGTGGGTTCCGCAGTCAGCCCACAAAAACCTATGTGACCCATAACCACATATGCAAGGAATGGCACTGATAGTACTATCAGAATCTAACCAGCAGTTATCATACTCTGCCTGGAAAAAGGTATGCTGGAGTCAGTTAAAAATGGCAGGCTGAACACACTGGTTTATCTCATCTCCCTTCTCAACTCCTCCAAGAGATAGTAGAGGAGAAAAAAAAAAAAAGATGCATTAACCCACAAGAAAAAAAGAGGAAAGGGAGAGCTAGCGAGAGTAGATTTTTCACAAAATTCTCCAAGATGGGAGATGAAGGAGCAAAAAGGAAGTTATCGCCTGAGGGCCCACCGGCAATGAAGGTGAGCGTGAAGCGGATCAGGCCCATGGAACCCCTGTGAACAGGAGCTCTGAGGGTGGTGCCCCTGGAAGGCGGCGGGTGGAGAACCACGGGCCTTCTGGAGTGTCCATTCGGCCAAGTGACTGCCCCCCAGGAGAAAGGAGGCTCAATTCTCCGGAAAAATGGAGCCACAGAAGCTCCAAACTGAGAGATACGAGGCACAGAAGGCTGACGTCTGAGGCCTTCTGTCTCCCTCCCCACCCTGTGCTCAGGACACTGTCGCCATGTGATAAGTTCCTAGGCAGGAGAGCAGGGCAGTGTTTTCTGGAGAAACTGCATGGTCATCCCCCTGCTCCCCAGAAAAGGAGATATCCAAGTTCTAAGAACCAAGAGGTCAGTTCTCAGCAAAATTACATACAAAGGAGACAGAAAGCTCCACCCGGGTTTCAGAGATATTTTCCAATGCTGTACTCTGAAACATGAAGCGACAGCTAAGGATCCCCAGCATCTGAGGAAAGCCTCAGACACAGACTAAAGGAAACAGGAAAAAAAGCAACTCAAGAAAGCAATGCAAGGAACAAACAAAACATCCACACACAAAAGAAAGAAAAGAAAGAGAAAAGAACTCACAACTCCTCCTCCTCCTCCTCTCTGAGGACACCCTCAGAGAAGTGAGAGAAAACACACTTCCACAAGAATGGGATGCTATGAGAAAACAGTAAAATGAGAAATTGAACACAAGAAACGTTTAACATTTTTAATAGAAGAACTGGAAGACAAATGTACAAAAATCTCTCAGCAAACAGATAATGTCCGTTGATTATCTGTGAAAGAAGAAAATAACTTAGGGGATAATCCAGGATGTTAAACACCTACTTAACAAAGGTAGGGAGAAAATTATTAAAGAAATAATTATGGAACGCCCCCCCCCCCAAATTGAAGGATGGGAATGAACTAATAATCACCACCCAATGCAACCTAGTGCAATGAAGGAAAAAGAACCTTTTATAAGACACATCGTCATGAAATGTGGAACTCTAGAAGCAAAGAGATGATCCTAAAGGGTGAGAGGAAAAATAGGTCACATGTACAGAGGGTGACTACATGGCCCCACCTACCACAGAAAGTCCTGGCTAAAGTCTCCTGCCCTGCTACTTCTTCGGGCTAGCACCTCAAGGGTCCCGGTCTTGACAAAGAATTATACAGTCATCTGAAACATTAAGGAACATAAACCTAAATGGGATTAGACATATCAATAGCAATAACAGATGGCAGAGGACAGCAGAGCAAAACCTTCAAAATCCTGAGGAAAATGACTTTCAACCTCAAGTTCCATACACAGCCAAAGCACTAACCAAGGATGAGAGTTCATAAGCA